TGCAGCCAAAATGCAGCCAAAATGGAGCCAAAAAGGAGCCAAAAAGAAGCCAAAAAGGAGCCAAAAAGGAGCCAAAATGGAGCCAAAATGGAGCCAAAATGGAGACAAAATGGAGCCAAAATGGAGCCAAAATGGAGCCAAAAAGGAGACAAAAAAGGAGCCAAAATGGAGACAAAATGGAGCCAAAATGGAGACAAAATGGAGCCAAAAAGGAGACAAAAAGGAGCCAAAATGGAGACAAAATGGAGCCAAAATGGAGCCAAAATGGAGCCAAAAAGGAGACAAAAAGGAGCCAAAATGGAGACAAAATGGAGCCAAAAAGGAGCCAAAAAGGAGCCAAAATGGAGCCAAAAAGGAGACAAAAAGGAGCCAAAAAGGAGACAAAAAGGAGCCAAAATGGAGACAAAAAGGAGCCAAAATGGAGCCAAAATGGAGCCAAAATGGAGCCAAAATGCTGACAATCTTCCGCGCTGGAGGGCGTGTCGAAGCCGGCGGTGATGCGGGTGTGGGGCGGGCAGTCCTGGGGAGGCATGGGAGTGTCTCCTTGGGGACAAAGTGTCTCCTTTTGGCAGGAGACAGTCCCCTCCGGACAGCTGTCTCCTTGGAGACAGGAGACAGCCGCCCGGGGGCAGCAGGAGACAGCGTCTGGGGCGCAAAGTGTCTCCTTTTGGCCGCAGGAGACGGAGCCCGCGGGGCAGCTGGCCCCGCTGCTGCAGGAGACAGTCTCCGCGGGGCAGCAGGCGACAGCAGCAGCAGCACAAAGTGTCTCCTCCTCGCAGGAGACAGTCCCTCCCGGACAGAAGCGCCGCGGGTCTCTGCATGCAACGCACTGCTTCAAAAGGGGACTGTAGAAGTAGCCTTTGCTGCAGAGACACTGAGCAGCAGCAGTGGCCCCTTGAGCAGCAGTCCCCGAGTTCTCGTCGCAGGCCCTGCAGCTGCTGTTGCCAAGTGTCTCCTTGTAGGTGTTCACGGGGCAAAGGAGACACCCCTTGGTCTCCTCCGCTGCTGCTGCGCCTGCTGCTGCTGCTGCAGCGCCTGCTGCTGCAGCAGAGCTCGCCGTGCGGTAGTAGTACCCCGGGCCGCACACGCACTCTGCTGCTGCTGCTGCTCCTGCTGCTGCTGTTGTCATCGAAAGGGGACACTTCACGAGGCCCCGCTCCTCTCCTGTCTCCTTGTCCAGTCCCCCCCGACAGTAATACCCCACGGGACACTTCTGCAGCAAGGCGCAGCAAGGAGACACTTGGAGACACAATTGGAGACACAATTGGAGACACACTTGGAGACACAATTGGAGACACTTGGAGACGCAATTGGAGACATAATTGGAGACACTTGGAGACGCAATTGGAGACACAATTGGAGACACTTGGAGACGCAATTGGAGACACAATTGGAGACACTTGGAGACACACTTGGAGACACAAGTGGAGACAGAAGTGGAGACACAAGTGGAGACGCTGTTAGAGACAAAATTGGAGACATTACTGGAGACAATGTTGGAGACACTATTGGAGGGCGGATTCGAGAGAAATTTGGAGACAAAAAGCATTTGGAGACAAAGGAGACACCACCCGAGCCAGAGCTGGAGAGACAACTGGAGGCGCGGGACAGCTGGATTTGGGGGTTTGGGGGCTGCGCGCAAACCCTAAAAAAGGGTTTGGCGGACCGTGCAGATCTGCGTGTCCGGGTCCCTGTACTCCCCCGGCTCGCAGACGCAAAGGGAGACAGAGTCCGCGCCAGCTGTCTCCGTTATGGCCCCGAGGGGACAGGAGACAGGCCAGCTGTTGGAGACAGTGTCTTTGAAGGTCCCCTGCGGCACGGGGAGACACTGTCTCCCACTGTCTCCGTCGCTGCCCAGCGGCGCGAAGCCCGGCCGGCAGCTGCGCGCAAAGGAGACACTTGGCCCTCGGAGGCCATGGGGACAACCGGAGACAAACGGAGACATCGGAGACAAACGGAGACAACAGGAGAGAAATGGAGAGAAACGGAGACAATAGGAGACAATAGGAGACAATAGGAGACAATAGGAGACAATAGGAGACATACGGAGACAATAGGAGACAATAGGAGACAAACGGAGACAATAGGAGACAATAGGAGACAATAGGAGAGAAACGGAGACAATAGGAGACAATAGGAGACAATAGGAGAGAAACGGAGACAATAGGAGACAATAGGAGACAATAGGAGACATTTGGGCCCTCAGAGAAGTGGGGGAGAGCAGGAGACAAACGGAGACACTTGGGCCCTTTGGAGACAAAAGGAGACAACAGGAGACAGAAGGAGACTTTAGAGACAAAAGGAGACAAAAGGAGACAAAAGGAGACAAAAGGAGACAAAAGGAGACAAAAGGAGACTTTAGAGACAAAAGGAGACAAAAGGAGACAAAAGGAGACACTTGGGCTCTTTGGAGACAAAAGAGACAGACGGAGACAGTTGACAGTTGGGCCCTTCGGAGACAGAAGGAGACGCTGGAGACAGCGGAGACAGGAGGTAAAGGAGGAAAAGAAAGGGAGAAAGGAAAGGGAGAAATGGAAGACACAAACAGCAAAAAAGGAGACACTTTTGGGGCTTTCTTGCATGCACGGGGCAGACAGAGACACACGGGACAAAAATATGTCTCCTAAAACTGTCTCCTTTTTATTCCGCACTCAAACTCTCCGCTCCTTTAAAGTGTCTCCTTTAAAGTGTCTCCTTTAAAGTGTCTCCTTTAGAGTCTCTCCTTTAAAGTTACTTTTTAGTAGTCTCTCCTTTAAAGTGTCTCCTTTAAATGACTCCTTTAAATGACTCCTATAAAGTGTCTCCTTTAAAGTGTCTCCTTATAACTTATAATTAGATCATCTACTCAAAACTGTCTCCTAAAACTGTCTCCCTAAAACTGTCTCCTTAAAACTGTCTCCCTAAAACTGTCTCCTAAAACTGTCTCCTAAAACTGTCTCCTAAAACTGTCTCCAAAAGCTGCTAAAACTGCCCCCAAAGCTTCCCAAACGGTCTCCAAAACTGTCTCCAAAGCTGTCTCCAAAACTGTCTCCAAAAGCCTCTCAAAGTGTCTCCAAAAGCCCCTCAAACTGTCTCCAAAGCTGCCAACACCGTCCCCTCAAACTGTCCCCTAAACCTGTCTCCAAAAGCCTCTAAAACTGTCTCCAAAAGCCTTTAAAACTGTCTCCAAAAGCCTCCAAAACTGTCTCCAAAAGCCTTTAAAACTGTCTCCAAATGCTGTTAAAACTGTTTCCAAAAGCTCCTCAAGCTGTCCTCCAAACCTGTCTCCAAAAGCCCTTCAACCTGTCTCCAAAGAGTCTCCAAAAGCTTTTAAACCTGTCTACAAAATCCCGTAAACTTATCTCCAAAAGCTCCCCAAACTATCTCCAAAAGCCCTTAAAACTGTCTCCAAAAGTCCTCCAAACTGTCTCCAAAAGTCCTGAAAACTGTCTCCAAAAGCCCTTAAACCTGTCTCCAAAATCCCCCCAAAACTGTCCCCAAAAGCTTTAAACCTATCTCCAAAAGCTTTTAAGCCTATCTCCAAAAGCGAACTAAAACTACCTCCAAAAGCAAACTAAAACTATCTCGAAAAACTGCTAAAACTGCGTCCAAAAGCTGCTAAGAGTGTCTCCAAAAGCTGCCAAAAGCGTCTCCAAAAGCTGCCAAAAGTGTCTCCAAAAGCTGCCAAAAGTGTCTCCAAAAGGGGCGCTCACAGGCACTTGAGGGGGTGGTCGTTTGCGGGGGAGTTGGGGAGCGTTGCTGCATTTTGGGGACAGTTTCTCCTTGCGTTTTTGAAGGGAAGAAGAGACACTTCGAGGGGACTGGACCCCACACAAAAGGCATTTTGGGGACACTTTCCGCAGGGGATGTCTTCGTTTTCGGTGAGGTAAAAGCCGGGGAGACAGTTGCTGCAGAGCCGCTTGCTGCTGCTGCTGCTGCTGCTGCTGTACGACGCCGCGGGGCAGCTGCTGCAGCTCGCTGCAGCAACTGTCTCCTTGTAGCTGTGGGGCCCGCAGGGGACACAAATCTGACTGTCTCCGACGTTGGCGTACTCTGGGATCGATCGTATCCACGCGCGGAAGCGGTGCTCCGCGGAGTTGGGATCGAGGAGACGATCCCCGCGCGCAGGCGCAAACCCC